ATACCACTCTTCTCCCTGTGGACCGCAACCCCCCCCCTCCTCCTCTCCCTCCTACATGATTTGGTCAAGCCATGGCAATGGTCTGGACTGTCTGGAGGGCTTAAACACTCGATGCCAGGGGGACGAGGGAATAGCCCCCGTGCAGCGGATACCTGGACTGGGCAATGCAAGGGTTAGGGGTTGATGAGCCAGGGGGTAGGGTTGGTATTTATTTATTACTTTTTTTGAGGGGTTGGGGTTGTCTATCAATACCTTGGTCCTCGATTTGATTGTTGTGCAGGGGCTCAAATCAACTCAAACAATAATGTATAATTTTATTTTTTGACTTTTATTAAGTTTTATATGAATAATGCGATGGATCGTTCAGACTCAGAAATCATGAGACAACTTTGTTTAGTGCTCGTTACAGTTTTAATTTTTAATTTTTAAACGAACTTCTTATTTACAAGACGACAACAAGATTGCAAGATTTGGAATGACAGCATTTTACTCCGATGTGTGGGTAGGGTCACCAGATTCACAAACGATCAGGAGCGATGCACTTTAAAAGATGAGAGGCAATTGTTGCAGACACTTATCTTAATGTTCCCCCTGCCAGCCTCCCCTCCCTCTCCCCTCCCGCCTTTCCTTCTTCCCCCCTCCCCTTCTTTCTTCCCTCCTCCCTTTTTGAAATAGGGCCTGACAACAGCAGTGATGCTCGTTACGTGTCTTGCTTATGGATGTCAGGTATGCAAGCCGTCGGGGACAGACTTGAAAGACGAGCTCCCGACAGATGCCGGTGTGCTTCAGTGTCTTCAGGACAACATCGAGAAGTTGATGCAAGAAAGCTGCTACAAAGCCGTGACCAGAGTGATTAAGCGAGCTTCAGAAGACCTCCGATTCGATCACCGGACATATGACTGGTGCCAAGGTCTGTGATATGTGTGTGTGTGTGTGTGTGTGTGTGTGTGTGTGTGTGTGTGTGTGTGTGTGTGTGTGTTTGTGTGTGTGTATGTTTGTGTGTTTGTGTGCACGTGTGGTGAAGGCCACAGCACACAGCAAAATAGAGAATACCGTGTTTGCCCACCGAGTGCAGGTCATCCCAGACTGAGTGGTTCAGATAATACTTACTGAAAGAAACTTTAAGAAAGATCATTATGGAATTTAATCTCCCAACAGCCTACCCACCTGCAGAGAACATTGAAGAGAATTAACTCAGGAATCAATTATCCGATGTCCATGGCAACAAGGCAGCAAGCAAAAGACAGCGAACAGCAAGGCAGGGAAGCGACTAGGCACTGGTCGACAGGCAGCATCAAGGCACATAGGCTGGAGGGCATGGGGGAGGTGGGTGGGCAGACAGTGAATAACTCTAGGCAACAATTTGAAAGGAGTAGGTAGACTGTAGACAAAAGGCAGTGAAAGAAAGGCCATGAGGGAACAAGGTTGGAGGAGGCAAGGGGGAGAAGGGTGGGCACGCAAAGGCGCGAGGCAACGAGGCACAGGGCGACAGGCAGCAGCAAAGAAGAGAGGATGGAGTGCATGGGAGAGGCGGGAGGGCAGACGACACACAAGCATACCAAACAGGCAAACCAAAAAAAAATAAAAGTCCCCGAAAAAGGAAAGACCGAAAAAAAAAGAAAAAAAAAACTGCTGATAAGAGATTGTTTCATCAGAGCTGCACAGACTCATCAGGAGGCTGAACCCTTGACAATCTGGGACTAGGAGGAGGAGGAGGAGGAGGAGGAGGAGGAGGGCTGGTTTCTTGTCCAGAGATGCTGGAGTACCAGCTTCTTGCATATCATTCAGTTTTCTATTAATACCGTCTTCACCCGAATAGAACGCCTGGTCATTATAGCTGTATTTGGGCCAAGTTCCAGTGTAAATACAGCGATAATGACCGGGTGTTCTATTCAGGTGAAGACGGTAGTTGGGTCGTGGTTGTTTGTTTGTTGAACCTTGTTTTTTCGTTTTTGTTTAATAGGGCCCATGCCAATCTTCTCTGTATCATTCCAATCCAATTTTAATGGACGTAACGAGGACAGGGTCATGGTCGTTCGTCATCTTCTGAACTTCTGATTAATTAATAATTAAATAATGAATATTAATGATGCTTCAGTGATGTATGACTGTGTGAAGACTGCTGTTTTGTTTGTATTTTGCCTTCGAAAGATGTCTGATGGATGCTGTTTGTATTCTGCCCAAAACGTCTCAGGGCTAGGACGTTTTTAACCGACCTCTGGATGTACTCGCGGTCAGCTGCTACTTCCAGGGACCAGCTGTACTTGCAGTCAGAATCTGTCAGATATAGCCAGGAAAGTATTAGTGTGAATATGACCTCAGTCTGTCTGGAGGTATGATGCATACGCATGGTGATGCTTGCTGCGACAAGATATACGCATCCAAACAACTGTTGATTGTCATTGCAGGAAAACAGGGTTGGAAAGCCCGGGCTCAGCAATTGAGCCCTGCAGCTTTTTCTTTTTTTGTTTCATAGGGCGAGTCAAAGCCCATAGAGGCATAGGGAATGAAAAACGTTCTGAGTCTGGTAGGATGAAGAACTTCCCAGTCTGGTAGAAAGCAGAACTGTTACGCCTACTCAGGTCAGCCAGGCCCGAAGTCACCAGAAGTCAAGTTTGACGGCAGATTGCTCACACATCCTAGTTGTGCAGCTGCAGAAGCCACGAACCAGCCGATGGCAGCCCCTGGGGCCTAAGGGCCCTGACGCCCATGGGCTCCAAGCCCCCCAGGGACTGGACCCCTGGGGGCTAGGGGGCTCTGAGGCCCATGGGTGCCAGGGACGGTGACGCTGGGACCTAGGGGGCCCTGAGGCCCATGGGGCACAACGCGCTGGGGACGGGGACCCTGGGGCCTAGGGCCCCCTGAGGCTCATGGCGCCTAGGGCCCTGGAGGCATAGGGTGTCCAGAGGCCACATGGGATCCAGGGTGCAGTCACCACAATATATCTCAGCGGCCAGTGCAGTTGAGACAGATTCTGCCTTATGCTCAGCTCCTTGCTCGAGTAATGCACCATGCTGGCCTGCAGCAGACATAGTGGAGAGAGATTGCTTGGGCAGGCAGCCATAGTGGAGGTGCCAAGTGGGAAGCGCGAGGAGAGGTGGGACATAGGGAGGGACATACAGAAGTGGGATACTACATACCTCTGTGAGAGAGAGAGAGAGAGAGAGAGAGAGAGAGAGAGAGAGAGAGAGAGAAGAGACAAGAGAGCTAAGAGAATGGACGAAGTGCACCTGGTGGCTGGCGGCCATAGCCACATTCAACAAGCAGACACTAACATGACAATGGACCGTGATTCTTCAGTCCAGCCTTCATTCTTCTGAAACTCGATTTCAGGGAGGTGTAGAGAAGGAGAGAGACCAGGCAATCATAGCTTGGAGAGACTACCGTCTTCCCCGGAACAGAACATACGGTCATGGTAACTGTACCTGGGGCCACTTTCAGTCTAGATACAGTGAAAACAACCATATGTTCTGTTTGAGTAAGACGGTAGAGAGAATAGATTCTTTGGTGAGAGAAGATTCATCCATAGGCAGGGTTGTGTGATGTAGCGATTGAAGGAGAAGGCTCTAAGGAAGAAGTGAAGAGAGACTGGGTGGCATTGAGACTTGTTATTGTTCGTTGTTATATTGGGTTCTTTGAACTTCTTTCTATTTGTTATTATTCAAGGCGTTGATGGAATTACTGTTGACGCGATTAAGCGTCTGTCGAACAGGATCTTTGCATCATGGCGGTCCCAACAAAAAAAAAAGAAAAAGAAGAAAAAGCCTAGGTGAAGAAGGGCTGCCAATAACACTGACTTGCTATAGAATCGATGTCGGAGAATTCAAGAAGCAACCAACTTGAAAAAAGAAGGGAAAAAAAAATCAAGAACAAAAAGTGGGTGAATTTCTATGGTAGCTGAGTTGCCTGGCTGTGCTTGGCTGGCAGGCTGCTGGGCCCCGGTCTGGCCAGGCTCCACCTGCCGGAGTAAACCTGGGTGAACCGGGCAGGTAGAACAAAGCAGGAAATTTTGAAAAAAAAGTTAAGTCTGACCGGAGGCCTGATCTGCAGTTGGTCTGGGCGTGGGCAGTCAGAATCTGGCTCGGAGTGTAGCATGGGCATGCTCAATGCCACCCATCGTGCCAATTAGCGTACTGAGAATGCTCAGCTAGGTCTTCCATGTGTTCGTTGACCTCATCCTTACAATGGATGTCCTCGCTGTCATCAAGGACAGAGTCCGAAAGACTGATTCTTGAGCCTTTCTTATTCTTTCCTTTGCTTTCATTTGCATTCTACACTCCTTACTTTCCCTTTGTCCTTCTTTGCTTTGTCTTCTCTCCATCTCTTTTTATCCCCCCCCCATTTACTGTGTCTCTTTCTCACACTGTCAGCGTAAAAGAGGGCAGTTACGGCACGCGGGGATGCAGGCAGCTGCCGCTCAATTTCATCAACACGGCGAACCTTGTACGTGAAAGGGACAGTCAAGGGGGAGTTAAAAAAGAAAAATGATAAAAATGAATGGTTTCAGTGGGCTCTTCATGTTTGCCTTGTGTATTTTTACCCTTTGCAAAGTGTGCTCGTTTAGTTCATAGCTATGTGACAATATATGTGTACAGCCTGTAGTTCTTTCCTCTCTCTCTCTCTCTCTCTCTCTCTCTCTCTCTCTCTCTCTCTCTCTCTCTCTCTCTCTCTCTCTCTCTCTCTCTCTCTCTCTCTCT